ACTGAAGACCTCTGGAATCTAGCCACAGCCATGCTAAGACCACTTTCCACATGCTCAGATGAGCCTCATGCATGAAGGAACTGGCAGAAGAACACAGGTGTGCGGGACCTGGGGCTGAGATCTCCAAACCTGCTTGGATCAGGACTGGGCCTCCTCCACCCAGATCCCCCATCTTCCAGTAACTAGACAGTTACACCCACCAACTGCCGTGTAATCCCACCAATGACCAAGATCCAGAGACTATAAAACCAAGCTTCCAGAAGAAAAGACCTCTTATTGTCTAGTTCTCGCTGTCAGAGAACCCGGCAGGCTACCAGAAATATCCTGTCCGCATGTATGCATGACTGGGAACACCTGTAAACAGGTGATTAGAGGCTGCCCCAAAAGCCTCCATCCCTCTCGGAGATCCGGGCAAGCTACTGAGACTATCCCGCCTTCACAGCAGAGCCTGGCAAGCTACCTGTGGTGTACTCAATATGCCAAAAAGAGTAACAATGATAGTCCTCATTCCCCTGACCCTGAAAGAGCCCCCAATATCAGGCTACACTAGCACGTGACAGGGACAAATGGAGACGTTACTGGTGCCCACTCAAGCAAATTGATGAACAATGGGATGACCGTGACAGTGATACAGTGAAACATTAAAACACATTTTAAGAAACACCATTACAAAGTTGTTTATGATTGGGTTACAATCATATAGATTTTTATTTATTAATTTATTTATTTAATTGAATCACTGTGATATAGACCCTTACAAAGCTGTTCATGATTATGTTTCCAACATACAGTGTTCCAGCACCCATCCCTCCACCAGAGGGATGGGTGTTGACCAACACCAGTATCCCTAGTTTCTCTCCCATCACTACCCCCCATCCCCAGACTACCTCTATGGCAGGTGCTATTATTCTCTCTCTTTCTGTCTCTCTGTCTGTCTGTCTGTCTGTCTGTCTGTCTCTCTCTCTCTCTCTCATTGTGTGTGTCTCTTCTTTTCGTTACTGGGGTTTGCAATACAGACACTGAAAGGTTATCAGGAATGTCCCTTTATTTTTTTTTAACACTCAGTTCTTATTTAATGTGACTATTTTCAGCTATTATTGTCATACTGGTTACTTCTATATCTTACCTACCCTCTGCCACACACACTTGTGGTTGATATATATATATATATATATATATATATATATATATATATATATATATAGTCCCAGATGAAAATGACAGAGTGTGTCTGTGGGCTTCCCACACCAGTAGCCCAGCTGGCCACCGCACCCAAACTTAGGGTCTTTCTTCAATGTAGAGCAGAGCAGCCTCCTTACAACGCCACGTCATCCAAGACAAGGTGAGTACAAGACCTGACTCAGTCAGAGGTGTCTTAGGGAGATATGACTGGGACCTCACTCAGTGTTAATGATTCTGGAGTGGGATCCTAGGAGAGAAAAGAAAACAATAGCATCCAAATAAAGTGAGGAGATTCGTGATACTGCCCTGACATGGACTTAATAGCTATAGAACTGTGGTAGTGATAAAAGATGAAAATGTTTCCTAAAAAAGGGAACAGGGGAGCTGGAGCAATAGCACAGTGGGTAGGGCATTTGCCTTGCATGCGACCAACCTGGGTTCGATTCCCAGCATCCCATGTGGTCCCCTTAGCACCGCCAGGAGCAATTCCTGAGTGCAGAGCCAGGAGTAACCCCTGTGCATTGCTGAGTGTGACCCAAAAAGAAAAAGAAAAAAAAGAAAAGAAACAGATATTGGAAGGAAAATTACCTTGTAGTCTCTAGGTTTATCATCGCGGGCTAGAGAAAGAGGTTCTGGGTACATTTTGGAACCTCAGACACAGCACAAGGCCCCAGAGGTTTCCTTTCCTCCATTTCCACCCGGCTCCCGAGCCTGAGCCCAGGACTGCTCTGAAGGCCTCTTCGCCCCATGGATGTTCTCCTCCAGGCCAGCATCTCATCCTGACTCAGACCACAGGCCCACCCATGCAAAGTAGAGCAAGCAGAGAAGCAGAGTTCTTATGTGGCCCTGGGTCAGAAAGACAGTCCTAATTCAGCTTCCTCAGTAGGGAACTCTCCCTTACCTAACCCTCACTGTTTTCTTCTTCTGATGCATTGACCATTTATTTGTCTCTTCCCTTTCTCTCTCCAATCTCCACTTGGCCCCAGTTTTGATCTGATCAACGTATGTGAAATCCACCTGTTCTGGCCTGGGATGTGCTCTTTCTTTCCCCCAGAGGCCAGATTGCTTTCTACTTAATACCCATTTTACCCTGCAGAGACCCTCTGAAATGAGATATCAGATTCAGCCACTATAGCTGGGGTCCCCATGATTAATTTTAGATTAATTTCTCTTGGGATCTCAAATATGCCAGGCATTGGGCTGGAGAGATGGTACAGTGGGAGTTATATAGGCAGGTAGACAGGGAAAGGCCCTTGGCAATGAATCTGAGGTCAACAAAATTTCTAAAAGGAAAGTTTTTTTTTTTTATTAGTGAATCACTGTGAGATACAGTTACAAACTTACAAACTTTCATGCTTGCATTTCGGTCATACAGTGCCCATTTTCCACCACCAATGGTCGCAGCATCCCTCCCTCTACCCCCACCCTATCCCCTCCACCCTACCAGGCCTCTGTGGCAGGGCATTCTCTCTCTCTCTCTCTCTCTCTCTCTCTCTCTCTCTCTCTCTCTTCTCTCTCTCTCTCTCTCTTTCTCTTTGTGTCTTCTGCTTTGCAATAGATATATTAAGTGGCCATAATGTTCCGTCTATAGTCCACTTTCAGCCCGCATCTCCCATCTGGAGCAGGCTCTCCTATGGAAGGAAAGTTTTAAGATTGATCCACCCTGTGGATATGGAGAGTAAGACCTGATATAAGACCTTCAGCAGACCCTGAGGAAATTTGACCCCTCCTCAGGAAGGAAATTCCTCAAATAGCCTCAGATGCATCATTTATTCTGATTAACTTTAGTGATTCAGCCCAGCCTTTGGTCTGGACCAAGACAACCTGAGAAGAGCCTATAAAATCCAATCCAAAAGCCCATTCAAGGCTCTCTCCACCCTGGAGAAACCCGAGTTCTCTCTTGAACACGTTACTCTCTCTCTCTCTCTCTCTCTCTCTGTGTGTGTGTGTCTCTGTCTCTCTCTCTCTCTCTCTCTCTCTCGCTCTCTCGCTCTCTCTCTCTCTCTCTCCCTATCTACACCTTCAAAAACCCTCCAAATAAAATAGATTTTACTTCACTGCTTGTCATTCCTGAAATTCTTTTCTGCAAGACAAGTACCCTGAAAATCCTCAGTAAGACCCTGGGACTGGTTCCTCCTTTCCTGCAAAGAGCAAATTCCCGCTCCAGCCTGAGTCCAGGGCTCCCTGAGAAATCATGTGGTGGAGATAAACTCCTGTGCCTGGCAGACCAAGCGGACTTCAGGTGTGGCCTGACGGTCACCTTGTGGGGCTGGTGGATCTCAGGCCCATGCTGAGCAGGGGCTCGTCACAGACTTTACCAGTCCTAGTCTTCCCAGAGAGTCATGGGTGGAAGAGGCAGAGTGGGAGAAGGTGACAGTCTTTCTCTCCTCCTGACCCACGTGAGCCACCCCTGGGATCTACCGACATCATGAGGGCTTGCATGTAGCTGACACATTTCTATCTCCCACACCCAATTTGTTCCCTAGAGCCTTGCCCTGTGCTTAGGGAAGTGATTCCTAAGCATAGCGCCAGGCCTAAGAACCGAGAATGGCTAGATTTCACCCAAAAGCAAACAAACAAATGAAATAAACTCATCCCCTGAGTGTGGGGATAGGGTGGGACTGGACTGGTTGGCATAGGGAGGAAGAAATGGGACAGCCCACAGGAAGTGAGAGAGTGAACTGCCTGGGAAATGGGGGGAGCAGGTCTGTGGGGGAGCAGGTCTGAACTCTGCTGAGCTTACAGACCCACATGGACAGCAGGAGAGAGCATGGAACAGACTAGAGGAAAGTGCAAGGAAGTAGCTGCAGATGTGAGTTACAGTAACTGTTACTAAGGAAACACAGACCTTCCCTCCATGTCTCAGAACCTAGGTGGAAACTGATTCCAATCCTTCTCTTCCTTCATGACTGTGAATTGGGGTGCTGGGGGGTACCAATCTCTGCTGTGATCAGAAACTAGTCCCAGGCTTTGTGCATGGGGGCTGGGGTGTTACAGGGATGAGCAGTGTCTAGGTGAACACTACTAAAGGTGTTATAGGGATGAAGCAGTGTCTGGATGAACCTGAATTTCCCACATACAAAGCCTGACTCGAGTCCTTTCAGCTAAGGCATCCCGTAAGTCCCTGTTCAGTTTTCACTATCTTTTGTTAAGTGTTTGTTTAAGTTTGGTTTCCTTTTTGTTTGTTTTGTTTTGTTTGTTGTTTTTGTTTGGGGATCACACATGAATGTGCTCTGGGTTTACTCCAGCTCTGCTCTCAGGGATTACTCCTTGTGGTGCTCAGGAAACATATAGGATCCCTGGATCAAATCTGGGTCATCCTTATGCAGCACTGCCTACTGTACTATTGCTCTAGCCTTGTAAGGTTATAAGTGGCAAACTTATTGAAAACTATTGTAAAGTATCTTATAAACTATTACAAATGATCCTGTATATATTGTAAAATCTCTTGTAAGTTTGGATGATTTTTTAAAGATCGTTTGAAATTGCTGAGTCATTTTCAGCCCTGGACAGGAAAGACAGTGTGACAAAGATCAGATAAGGGTGCAGGTGAGAGGGTGAAGTCCCAGGGACCAGGTGTGGCTCCCAGGGTGGTGTTGGGGGCGGGAGATTAAGCCTGGGGATTCCTGGTCTCCCCAGAATTTTCACTTCTCTCTCTGCAACCTGTCAGCGCCTTCTGCCCGGATACTCGTGAAGCGTCCCCATTCCTCACTCCCATTGGGTGTCGCTGTCTAGATCAGCCAATCCACGTCCGCGCGGCTCCAGGTTATAAACTGATGAAGTCGCAAGAGAGTCAGTACCGGCCCAATTCTCTCAGTATGTGGGAGCTGCGTCCCCTCCTGCTGCTGCTCTCGGGGGTCCTGGTCCTAACCCAAAACCGGGCGGGTGAGTGCGGAATAGGGAAGGAAGTTCTTTGAGAGGAGAAGGGTGGGGACTGCCAGGCATTAATGTGCAGGACCCCCGAGAAGGAGTTTCTCCAGTTTCTTGCCCGTATTGCCCCCCCCCCCTCAATTTTCTCCTTGTCACCCGCAACCTTCAACTCCTCCAGCGCCCCTACGTCTCGCCCTTCTCGGTCCCCACCCTTCTCGTCTTCCCCCTCCCCTTCCACCCAACACCACGACCCGGGGCTCGCTGGGCGGAGGGGCGGGCCGAATCTCACTCCTTCCCCTCTCCCAGTCCCCCACTCCCTGAGGTATGTCTACACCACCGTGTCCCGGCCCGGCTGCGGGGAAGCCCGCTTCATCGTCGTCGGCTACGTGAACGACATGCAGTTTCTGCGTTTCGACAGCGACTCGGCTAGTCAGAGGGCCGAGCCGCGGGGACTGTGGGTGGAACGGGAGGACCCCGAGTACTGGGAAGAGGTGACGCGGATCTGCAAGAGCAACGCACTGGATTCCCGAGTGAGCCTGAGCAACCTGCGCGGCTTGTACAACCAAAGCGAGGCGGGTGAGGGCAAGGATGAGACAATACAGGGACGGGCGGGGTCGCCCCGACGAGGGTCCGAGCATTCTCGAGGCTTAGGGACCGCCCCCCCCCCCCCCCCCGACACTTGGCGCGTCAGGGACTGGGCCCCGGTTTCGTTTAATTCCGGATTAATCTGTGCGGGGCGGGTCAGATTCTCACACCCTTCAGTGGATGCAAGGCTGCGACATGGGATCCGACGGGCGCCTCGGACGCGGGTACTACCAATCCGCCTACGACGGGGCCGACTACATCGCCCTGAACGAGGATCTGCGCTCCTGGACGGCGGCGAGCACACAGGCTTGGATCACCCAGCGCATGTGGGAGCAGGCGGGTGAGGCTGAGTACCAGAGGAACTACCTGGCGGGGGAGTGCATACCTTGGCTCCTCAGTTACCTGGAGAAAGGAAACGAGACGCTGCTGCGAGCAGGTACTGGGTCACCATATGGTGAGGACCCCTGACCTCCCCTGTGAGGGCCGACTCCCCACAAGGGGGAAGACAGTGGGGTTCAATGTCAGAACAGCGCCCCTTCTTCAGTCAGGAGAGAGACTGACCTGCCTAGTTTCCATGTTCTGTACCAGAGAGACTCGAACTCAAGCCCACCCTGTGTCCACAGGACCTTGAAAGACCCCAGTGTCCCTGGAGGAGGGAGGACCTTCTCTGAAATAACGAATGTGGGTTCCCTGGGACCCCGCAGCCATCTCTGAGCTTTCTCCTATCTTAGCTTTGACTCCTGCTTCTCTCAGTCACTCACCCTTCACCCAGGACAAGACCAGAGTCAGGGTCTCCTGAGACCCCTAAGATCCTATCCAAACCCTATTCTAGACCTTTCCAAGAAATAGAATTTTATCCAGTTTCCTCAGGCAGGCTTGTGTCTGGATGTTTGCCTCCTGTTCCAAACTAATTATCCTGTTCATCCTCATAATGGAAGTGACCCAAAGTGTGAATTTTCTCATTTTTCCTCCTCAGAAGCCCCCAGAAGACACATATCCCACCACCCCTTCTCTGACCATGAGGTCACCCTGAGGTGCTGGGCCCTGGACTTCTACCCTGCCGAGATCACCCTGACCTGGCAGCATGATGGGGAGGACCTGACCCAGGACACAGAGCTAGTGGAGACCAGGCCTTCAGGGGATGGAACCTTCCAGAAGTGGGCAGCTGTGGTGGTACCTTCTGGAGAGGAGCAGAGATACACGTGCCGTGTGCAGCACCAGGGGCTGCCAGAGCCTGTCACCCTGAGATGGGGTAAGAAGGGGGATGGGACACAGCCTGTTCTCAGAGGAATCAAGATTGGCCCCTCTGGGGAACTATTTACGGTCAGGCTGAGGCTGGGGGTCAGGTCAGGTCTCCTTCTTTCTTTCCCAGAGCCCCCTTCTCAGTCCACTATCCTCACTGTGGGCATCATAGTTGGCCTGGTTCTCCTTGGGGCTGTGGTCATTGGAGCTGTGGTGGGAGTTTGGATCTGCAGGAAGAAGCACTCAGGTAAGATGGGGGCAAGGGCAATTTGTCCAACATGGCAAGCTTGAGTCTTGTCCCACTCTGGGGGTCTCACCCACCCCCGTATTAGTTCTCCTGTCTCATTAGTGGGAGCACCACCCACCCCTGTGCTGTTGCTCACACTCCCCCTGTGTGTGCCGCTCTCAGGTTTGCTCATGAAAAATACTTTCACCTCCATAAGCTGGCGATGAACCCAGTTCCAGGGTCACAGGTCATGGGGACTGTCCCTGCTGAGCACAGACCACCAGGAGAGGCTGGTCAGTTCAGGAGCATCTCCTTTCTGCATGTTTCCCTCAGTCTTCAGAGGGGTCCAGGCCTAGTGAGCTGCTCTGTGGCCTCAGGACCCAGTGCTCTCCCTGACCTTTCCTGGAATGTTTCCTTCCTGCAGGTGAGAAAGGAGGAAAGTACACTCAGGCTGCAAGTAAGTGTGGGCAGGGCTGGGACCCTGGAATCCTGGGGACATTGACCTGAGCTCATGGGGAGCTCCCGCACCACTAGTTCCTCCTCTAGTCCCATCCCTTGGGACTCTGACCTTGTCCCGTTTGTTCCTCCACAAACAGCGACAGTTCCCAGGGCTCTGACGAGTCTCTCAGGAACCCTAGAGGTAAGACTCTGGAGGCTGTTGTGGGCTGGATTGGGCAGAGGGGACAGGACTGGGTTCGGGGGTTCTTTGAGAGGGATGCTGGGAGTTTGTTCAGGGTGTCACCACTTTAGTGACTCACCTGAGTCTCTTCATTCTTTTCTCTCACAGTGTGAGACAGCTGCCCCGCTGGATTTTCTCACATCCCAGTGTTGAGTCAAGAACTGCTGATTCTCTTTGAGCCCTGGGACCTGAGCGTGAATTTTGTCTTGTCACATACTGTGAGGAAGGAGATTGACCCATCCCTGCCTGTATAATCTCCAGGCAGCTAGGGAGAACCCTGACGGCTCTCCCTCTCGGTACTCAGGTTAGTTGGTCTCGGGCCGCTCACCAGACTTGGGCAGCCCATGCCATGGGTGGACGAAGGAGGAAGCAAGGTGAAGCTGGTTGATTGATCAGTTGCCATTTATTCCATTATCCCCACGTGCCTGTTCCAGTCTCACTAAGCTCCTCATTCTAGTCTCATGCTGCCCCTCATTCCCGTCTCCTCCTGTCTCTCCTGCTCATCTCTTCGCGCTCCCTCTCACAGCCGTGTCTCTCATCTCTCCATGTGCCTGTCCCTGTATTCTTTCCTTACATTCTTCTCTCTGTGTCCCCCTTGCTAGTCTCTCTGCTCTCCATCTTGCTGCCCTGCTCTCTATCTTCTCTCCAATTCCCCTTCTTTTTCCAACTGCCAAGCATTGAGGGCAGACACCACACTTAGTCTGGCAGCAAAATCAACATACCAAAAGCCTTTCTTCTGCTCAAGGGCAAAATACCACTTAGGGGTATTCCTGCTCTTCGTAGTCCAATAACTTAATTAACATCTTAATATTAGTTATTTTGCATAACTAATATTAAGAAACATCTTAATATTAGTTATTTTGCATAACTAATATTAAGACATTAGTTATACAAAATAACTAATATTAAGACACAGTAAGAGATACATTGAGCTTGTAGGGTGACTTTCCGGGGGATATCTCACCACAGACTCAGACATCCATGCTCAGGCCAAATTAATCTTTCCTAACCCTAGCAAGGTCCGAATCCAGTTATTGCTTTTTGGATTGTGACAGAATTTGTCATGACCAAGCTCTTAACTTATAGTTAAGCATTATGGGGCTTTGGCAAGGCCCATTTCAATGCCAGGGTAGCACATAGCTGACCGCTTGCCCTGAGTTCATCCAGTCCCTTGTTGTAACCTTGCTTTGGGGGTGCTAGGAAGTAAGGGCAATTGAGGCGTAGGTTGAGAGAACAGATGTCCAGGAGGTAAATATCATTCAGAGTCAATTAACTCCCAAGTTCCAAAGCATAGCATTAACTGTCTTCTTGTGTCCATACCAAAAGGACATTGCTCTGAATTAACTATGCAAAGGACTTAAGGAGAAGAGAAAAACAATATTTACAAGTCAACAGAGCACAAAGAAAGAGGTTACAAGTAAACACAGAGGAATGAGAGCGCTGTGATGGGAGTAACTCCATAATCCTAAACTCCCTACAGCAAGGCTGAAAGGATAAACCAATGTTATCCTACACCTGCCCACCAGGCCCTCCACACATTGACCTGCATTCTCTTTCCTGATGCTCTGGACTGTGCCAGAAGAGATAGGGGTTAGTTGTCTTCATCTGTGTTAGCTTCTTGTTTTCCTAAATGATGTTTCTCCTTTACTAAATTCAGCATCTGAATTGCAATTTTTCTAATTCCCATTTTGTGGGATTGAGTTGTTAATAAAGGAAATCCCTGAAATTTGAGAAGGAACAAATGGAAATCTGAGACCTTCCATGTGTTTTCTGTTTTGATTTGAGTCTGTCCCTGATGTGATGGGAGAAGCTGTGAGGGAAAGGGAGGGGACAGAGGTGTAGCCAGTCTGTCTCTGTCTCAGTTATTGTGGACTTTGAAGGGGTCACTCATCTCTCTGGGTCACTTCTCCTGCTCCTTGTCCTGCTTCCTCAGTAGCACCTCGTCTCACAGGCCCTTGCTCACAGAGACTCAGGTAACATCTGGACTCATCCTGTTCCAGGACTGTGGGCAGCCAGGGCTTTTTCGTTTTTCTTCATCATTAATTTTTTTTAATTTTTATTTTTTAATGAATCATCGTGAGGTGTAGTTACAGACTTACAAACTTTCGTGCTTACATTTCAGTCATATAATAATCGAGTATCCATCCCTCCACTAGTGCCCATTGCCCACCAACAATGTTCCCAGTATCCCTCCCACCCACCTCCATTCCCCCTCCCCATCTCTGTGGCAGACACATTTTCTTTTATTCTCTCTCTCCTTTTGGGTGTTATGGTTTGCAATACAGGTATTAAGTGGCCATCATGTTTGATCTATAGTCTACAGTTTCAGCACACATCTCCCATTCTGAGCGAGCCCTCCAAGCATCCTTTATTTGATGGTCCCTTCTCTATGTCAGCTGCCTTTTCCCCCAGCAATGTGGGGCCAGCTTTTAAGTCATGGAGCAATCTTCCTAGTCCTTATCTCTACTATCCTTGGGTGTTAGTTTCCTATTATGTTACTTAATATTCCACAAATGAGTGTAGTCCTTCTATGTCAGTCCCTCTTTTTCTGACTCACTTCACTTAGCATGATACTCTCCATATCAATCAACTTATATGCAAATTTCATGACTTCATCTTTTCTAATAGCTGCATAGTATTCCATTGTGTAGATGTACCAGAGTCTGTTTAGCTAGTCATCTGTTCTCGGGCACTCGGGTTTTTTCCAGATTTTGGCTATTGTAAACAGTGCTGCAATAAACATACAAGTACAGGTGTCATTTTTACTATACTTTTTTGCATCTCCAGGATAAATTCCTAGAAGTGGTATTGCTGGGTCAAATGGGAGCTCAATTTCTAATTTTTTGAGAAACACCTATACTGTTTTCCAAAAGAGCTGAACCAGAGCCTAAGAGATATAGTACAGAGGGTTGGGCATTTGAATTGCACACAGCCGACCCGGGTTCAATCCCCAGCATTCCATATGGTCCACCAAGCATCACCAGGAGAAATTTCTGAGTGCAAAGCCAGGAGTAACCACTGTAAATCGCTGGGTGTGACCCAAAAAGCTAAATAAATAAATAAATAAATAAATAAATAAAATAGCTGAACCAGAGGGCATTCCCACCAGCAGTGAAGGAGAGTCAACTTCTCCCCATATCCACTGGTTGCTTTTCTTCTTTTGGATGTAAGCCAATCTCTGTGGTGTGAGATGATATCTAATTGTTGTTTTGATCTGCATCTCCCTGATGACTAGTGATGAAGAGTATTTTTTCATGTGCCTTTTGGCTATTCAGATTTCTTCTTTGAGAAAGTTTTTGTTTATTTCATCACCCCATTTTCTGATGGGATTAGATGTTTTCTTCTTGCAGAGTTCAACCAGTGCCTTGCATATCTTTGATATTAACCCTTTATTGGAGGGGTTGTTGGATAAATATCCTGTCCCATTTTGTAGACTGTCTTTGTATTCTGGTCACTGTTTCTTTTGAGGTACAGAAGCTTCTTAGTTTAAGTTAGTCCCATTTGTTTATCTGTTTCCATTTGCTTGGTCAGTGGCATGTCATCTTTGAAGATGACTTTAGCTGCGTTGTCATGGAGGGTTTTGCCAACCTTGTCTTCAATGTACCTTATGGATTCTGGTCTGATGTTAATGTCTTTAATCCATTTTGATCTGACTTTTGTGCCTGATGTTAGGCAGATGTCTGAGTCCATTTTTTTTTTTTTTGCATGCAGCTGTCTAATTTTGCCAGCACTATTTGTTAAAGAGATTTTCCTTACTACACTTTACATTTCTTGCATCTTTTTCAAAGATTAGATGATCATATATTTGGGGGTGTGTGTAAGGATATTCCACCCTGTTCCATTGGTCTGTGGCTCTGCCTTTGTTCCAATATCATGCTGTTTTAATTATTAACACTTTGTAGTAGAGTTTGATGTTGGGGAAGGTGATGACTCCCATCTTATTTTTCCCAAGAATTTCTTTAGCTATTTATGGGGGTTTATTGTTCCATATGAATTTCAAGAGTGATTGATCAATTTCTTTGAAGAATGTCATGGGTATCCTTATAGGGATCACATTGAATCTGTGCAATGCTTTGGGGAATATTGCCATTTTGACAATGTTAATTCTCCCAATCCATGAGCAGGAGATATTTTTCCATTTTCTCATGTCCTCTTTTACTTCATGAGGTAGCGTTTTGTAGTTTTCTTTATACAGGTCCTTTACTTCCTTAGTTAAGCTAATTCCGAGGTACTTGATTTTCTGAGGCATGACTGTGAACAGGATTGCTATTTTTTTTCTTTTTATTAGTGAAACACCATGAGGTACAGTTGTAGATTTACAATTTTTTGTGCTTGGGTTTCAATTATACAATGATCAAATACCCATCCCTCCATCAGTGCCCATTTTCCACCACCATGGATAATATCCCTCCCACCTCCACCCCCCCATCCCATCCTGCCTCTGTGGCAGGGCATTCCCTTTTGTTCTCTCTCTCCTTTTGGGTGTTGTGGTCTGCAAAAGAGGCATTGAGTGGCAAACATGTTCAGTCCATAGTCTACTTTCAACATGCATCTCCCCTCCTGGGAGGATCCTCCAAACACACTTTATTTGGTGCTCCCTTCTCTATCTGAGCTGCCCTTTCCCCTAGAATGCCCGGCTGGCCTCTAAGCTATGGAGTAAGGATTGCTATTTTTTTTAATGTCACTTTCTTCTCTCTCATTATTTGCATATAGGACAAACATGGACTTTTGGGTATTGATTTTATAGCCTGAAACTTTACTATACAAGTCTATTGTTTCTAGGAGCTCTTGATAGCGGCTTTGCAGTTCTCTAAATATAGTATTATATCATTTGCAAATAGTGAGAGCTTGATTTCTTCCTTTCCTATCTGATGCCCTTAATATCTCTTTCTTGCCTAACTGCTATTGCAAGTACTTCCGGTACTATACTGAATAGAAGTAGTGAGAGTGGGCATCCTTATCTTGTCCCTGATCTTAGAGTGAAGACTCTTAATTTTCCCCAATTGAGGATAATGCTTGCCATAAACTTGTGGTAGATGGTTTTGACTATATTGAGGGAAATCCCTATAATATCCATTCTGGTGAGAGTTTTCATCAAAAATGGGTGCTAAATTTGTCAAATGCTTTCTCTGCATCTATTGATATGATCATAT